GGGGGGGGGGTCTTGAACAAATGTAATAAATATTACACTTTTTCTATTCCTAAATAACCTCCGAATCTCTGTCATTTTTCCCGTCAACGTAAACAATTCTATCACAAAAGGAAGTAAGCAAAGCTATAATAATTATCTCCCTTTCAACAAATTTATTGAATATAACATGGGGTAGTAAGCAAAAGCTATAATAATTCTCTCCTTTTCAACAAATTTATAGAATTCTAATAAAAGTGGAAAAATTATATCAATAGGTGGATATGAGACCAGATCTTTTCATAGAAACTTTGAGGTTGTCAAGTATTAACAAATGGCGAAATATTTGTCGCCGACAGTGGTCAGTCATAATTAATCTCTGGTGATAAGACATGATGGCGGCAAACTGGACAACCCATAGCACAATGGTGATAATTGTGTACATAATCAGGGAGTTGGGCGGAGGATGGATGGTGAAGGACTGTCCACGGGAAAACCACCTCTCTCTACCCCCTGCCTGTGGGGACCGGACGGAGAGAAGGGAGAGGACACTGGGTGTCGGCGGACAGAGAGGGGACAGACCATTGATAGAATAAGAAATGAAGAGCTGTGGGAAAGGACAGGACAAAAGTATATAGAAGTAGAAATAGGACTAAGAAAGTGGCGATGGATTAAGAAAGCTCAGCGGAAACATCACAAGACAGTCACTGCAGTGGAACCCACAGGGAGCACGAGGCAGGGGTAGGCCACGGGAAACGTGGAAGAGATGCGTGGGAAGGGACATGAGAGAAATGAAGCTCACTTGGAACGAGCTTGGAAGGATGGCTCAGAACAGAGATAAATGGAAGGAGCTTGTATGTGGCTTATACCCTGACAGGGGTGAAAGGCGTTGATGAAGACATGAGTAGGGAGTTGGGCGGGGGATGGATGGTGGGGGACTGTCCACGGGAAAACCACCTCTCTCTACCCCCTCCCTGTGGGTACCGGACGGAGAGAAGGGAGAGGACACTGGGTGTCGGCGGACAGAGAGGGGACAGACCACTGACCACGGCACTGTGGTGGAGAGGGGGTGAGTCGGACCAACAGGGGGCACAAAGTGGAGGAGGCTGAGGTAGGGGGTAGAGCTGAGATTGGGAGAAGAGGAGGGGAGGAAGATTATGTCGGAGGGCTTGGATTGGAAAGGAGGGAGGAGAGAGAGAGAGAGAGAGAGAGAGAGAGAGAGAGAGAGAGAGAGAGAGAGATGTTGAAAAGAGAGGGAGGGATTGAGATAATGAGACAGGAAATTTGCGAGGCTCAAGGATAGATAAGGCTAAAACAGCACCTGGACATGGATGGCTGGTGCCTCTATAAATAAATTATTGATGGTCAAGGGTGGATGGTGGGGGACTGTCGTGGGAGGAGGAGGGTGTAAAGGGTGTAATTTCGCGAAAGTAAACTGAATAGCTTGCGAAAATAAAGTGGAAGCATCGTGGAAGCAGCAATGTCGACTCGTTTTCATGTTAGATAGAGCGAACGAGCCATTTTTAGGTTCTCTATTAACATTAGAGAATGTAGACAACTTGTATACGTTCTCTAACGTTAGAGAACGACGTTAGAGAACGTAGACACTACCTTTTATCCGGGACAAGCATTGTCTAAATTTGGCGATGTGAGAACGGTTGGGGGGGGGGGGGGGGGGTGGCTGACTGGTTATATCAGCTGATGTTCTTACAGCACGATAAGGATGGCCCAAAAATTATTTTTAAAACCAGAAAAAAGGTCCTATTAGTCGCACAACTGTATAGATTCTAGCCTCATTACGGTTCTGTTGTAATGATCATAGCATGTGTGAGGCAGCGTGGTGGAATCAGGCTCTCGTCAAAATAATCAAAGTGAAGAAACTTGCATTTTTCCGCAGGGTTGTGAATTTTTATGAAATTTTTGTTTTTCAGCTCAACACCTTTCATGCCCATTAAAGAACTCGTTTCTGTGAGGATTTTTCTGAAAAACGTTGATTAAATGCACAAAAATTGTAAATTTTCACTTACCACGGACCCTTAAGCTAAGGAAATAACTAATCTTTGGCGGCCATTTACTCACTAATTTTACCCCTGAAAACAGATGACCCCCACTTCCTTCATTCCAAAATATCTCAACTTGTATTCAAGATAAAATAAATTTTTTTAATCCAAATAAAGACAAGTGAACAAGCTTTAAGGTGATACCAATAACTCTATATGCCAAAGAATTGACGAGAGCCTGATTCCACCACGCTGTCTCACATATGATAAAAGTGAACGAAAACGTAAGCCTATTACATGTCTTTGAATATTATATCCTACGTCATTAACAGGTGCAAGTAATAACAATATTGTTATATTATGTTCGTGGGTGTTTGGCATGTGTTCTGGTCTGATTTGCTCCTTCTTTCTTAACTGCGCATATCGTCCTTATACACGCAATTTTATCAGTGGAGCCATATACGTTTCATTTTTGTTGCAATTTTTTAGGGTCTACCCTTATCTTTCTTCCACTATTATCTCTCCTCTTTCTTTTCTGTGTATGTAACTTTCTTGTAAAACCTCTAACCTTCGGTTCTTATATAACTTAATTGTGTTGCAGATGCCGCTAAACTTTCACTAAAACGTAGGCCTTTGAGTCGTTTGTCTATAATAATCCCAGGATAAGTTCCTTGCATAATACATGTAGTTGGGGAGCGTTTTGTTAAATAAAGGTCGTTCTTCCCCAACGAAATCAACGAAAAGACGAAATAAATACGTGATTATCATTATAATGTTATAAGATCGATGTTGGCGTACGTGTGTGAGAGCCGTGAAGTGATTCCACGAGTTTGGAGGACGAAACCTGTTTGGACCAAAGAGCTTGATTTGGACAGACAACTGATCTCTGCTTGCCCACTTCGGACTGACACCGTAGTATACATACATGTATACACACATGTGTGTGTGTGTGTGTGTGTGTGTGTGTGTGTGTGTGTGTGTGTGTGTGTGTGTGTGTGTGTGTGTATGTGTGTGTATAAAATATATTCTATAGTCTTTGTTTCGAATTTATTATGTCTTTTATTTCAATAACAATACAAAGTCACGCTTGACACAGGTACCTGTGAATACACCAACAGAATAGGTACTTGAGGACACACGAAGAACATGTGCGGACGAACGTGCGCACAACATCAATAATAGTTATTTATTTATATAGCGCATATCCATGCTCAAGAGCTTGCTCTATGCGCTTTACAACTATTATTACCCCAGCAGACCCTCT